AAAAAAAAAAAAAAAGACAGAGTAGGTTCACCCTGATGGCACAACGGGTTAAAGCATAACACTATGAAGCTATCCGAAGCCACTGCAGCATGAGCTCGATTCCCCAGCCAAGGAACGACCCACATAGTGTGACAGATCTCTTCTGTCCCGCCCACTTCTCCCCTCAGCAGTATATTTCAGTGTCTCTCCCTGTTCTGCTCCCCACTGTGTCTCTAGTGAATCCTAACCAGCTCCCACACCTTGGCCAGTAACCCAGTTCTTATATGCATAAACAAACCTTTCTTAAAAAATGGGTATCTTGGAGGTGTGTTGGTACAAATGCCTTTGCTCCACACTGATATCCTCTCCACTGTCTATTCTTGCTAAGAAGGAAAATGTAGAGGTCTGATAGAAGGGAGAAATTATCTTTCACCCATCTGAGCCCATCAGGATAAAAGAATTATAGAAGTCTTCAATTTTACCTTCACCTTGTGTTATATGGATCATTAGAAGCAAAGTAGGCAGCTGGGACTTGCATTACTGTTCAGATTCTTGTCTAGCTCCAGCTGAGGTTGAGCCTTTGACTTCAAACCTTAAGCATCTCCGTCTTTTCCTTTCCTTTCTGCAAAGGTGCTCTGGCCAACAAAGTCAAGAGGAAGGATACACTTGCAATGAAGTTGAACCACAGACCACCCAGTGAACCAGAGTTGGACATGAATTCTTGGCCACGAAAAAGCAAAGAAGAGTGGAATGAAATACGTCACCAGATTGGGAACACACTGATCAGGTAAGATTTTGCCTGGAATGGATTGATTTGATTTGACTATGTCAGTATGTATAGGAGACTTACTTCATGGTGGAACTGTTTTTGTTTTGTTTTGTTTTGTTAAGGAACAAATAGCATACTTTTATTTTTTTAATGTATGTTTACATAAGTGATATAAGTGATAAAGTACATGTTATTAACAACTATACATTAATATATTATAAAATAAGCATCTAAAAGACAGCAAAAGTACATTGTGAACATGTTTAAAACTACATTTATAGGTATGCTTTAGATGTTTATTGACACTCTATTTTTTTCAAGCTATAATCTTAGAAAGAGGAACACAATGCCTAGGATTAAAGGAAAAAGGCCACAAACCACTTAGATTTGACTTCACTAAAAACATTAAAATTTTGATAATAACAAGTGGATATTCACTAAGATTTTTCTTAAGTTACTAGAAAAGTTAAGTGGTTTCCAGGGCAAGAAGACACCTCAAATATAAGGTACCAACACCTTACCCCTATTTTTCAGTGTATCTTCTTCACATGTTCCATGTAACAACTTGTCCAAGTGTTTGTGAAGTCAGCTAGAGGCAAAAGCATAGAGAAACTAAGTGCAGGTCAGTTTCCTACAGATAGATAATACTCATGAAGTCCAGGGATGTGGATGAGCGCGTGCCTGTCTCTGATATTTCACTCTGTAATGTGAGGAAAGGAAGTAGAATTCCTTACTTTTTAAAGAATATGAGAATATCCATTAAAATTAAGCCTATGCTTCTCTGGTGATGGCACACAGGTGATTTGGTAATGGGAGGCAGATCGGGATTACAGCTAAGATGGAAAAAGGCACAAAATGATGTAAAAATAAACTATTATATTTTAAAAAACAATTAAGACGTGAGTCCATCAGGACTCACACATCTGGCTTTCCTGTTGGCTGGGAGCAGTTTTAGTGTACAACTGTGGGCAGCTCTCAGCAGTAACACAGACTATCAGGATTAGGAATTAGTTCAGAATGGGAAACTTGAAAGATTCTTTTTTCCTTGGGGCAAAACTAGTTGTTTACCTTTTGAGTGTTGTTTTACATGTCATAGTATTCTTTGACGAGCTCATTGGACATAAACAGTGAACAATCTGAAAATGTAATCTAAACGTCTAAGAGATTGGCCCTCCCTGATGGCACAAGGGGTTAAAGCGCAGACTGTGAAGCTGTCCACAGCCACTGCAGCACGAGTTCAATCCCCAGCCAGGGAGGTGACCCAGATGGCACAGCGGACCTCTCCTGATCTGCCCCTGCTCCCTTCCGCAGTGTTATTTAGGTAGATCTGCCAGTTCTGCTCCCCACTGTCTCTGGTGAATCCTCTCAGCCTCTGTACCTCTGACCTACACCCCTTGTATGCATAAGTAAATAAAAATAAATCTTAAAAAAAATAAAGTAACCTCTGGTGTCTATGAATATAAACCTATTTTGTTTTATTTTTAAAGATTTATGTATTCATGCATACAAGAACTGGGGTACAGGTCAGAGGTACGGGGGCTATCAGGGTACACTCTCATCCAATGACAGGTGTCCTTGTAAAATGATGGAGATTCAGACACAGACACAGAATACTCACAGGGAGAACACTGTGTGACTGTGGAGGTAGAGATTGAAATAATGCAGCTAAAAGCCAAGGGAACACCAAGGGTTACTTCACAACCACCTGAAGCTAGGACAGTTGCCTAGAACAGATTCTCAGACTCTCTTGAAGAAAACAAGCTTTGCCATTATCTTTATTTTGGACTTATGATCTCCAGAGTGGTGAGAGAATAAATTTCTGTTATTTCAAGCCACCCAGCTTGTGGTAATTTGTTATAGCAGCCCTAGGAAATATATACAAATATGATGGATACGTAAAGATAAAGTATACAGGTAAGATACTACCTGAGAATGGGGAACTTGCTGACTTCAGAAGTGGCAAGTTGTCATTAGTTAGTAACACAGCAAAACTATTGATGAAATGAGAAGCTTCATTAGATATTTCAGAGAAGAATGAAATTAAGTTCATAGTTAAAAGAGTATTTCTCTAAAAGAGGCATTAAATTTCCATGGTTCCTAAACTACCAGTTTATAAAGTAAAAGAGGGACCTCAGAGTCGCATGGGAAGCATCACAAAATGAAACTTTAGAAAATGGAAAAATACATTGATATATGTGTAAAATCTCAGTCCTCATCCTGGTTTCCTAAATCAGAATTTCTATTAATATGCCTTAAGGATCTGCTTTTATCAGATTTGCTGAAGGAGCAAATTTATTTGGGAGCTTCCAGTTCAGTTCAGATCTTCACTTTAAAGATGAGTACATTCTCCGTTTGTGGCGATAGTGCTTATTGGCTTCAGAGCTAGAACTAGAATCCTGGCCTCCTTTTTGCTTGTACGACTCCATCTTATGCCATAGCAGCTGTATTAATGCTTAAAACTTGAAAATTGTTTCATAAATATTGAATCAGATAAACTAATGAGATATCAAAACAGCTTGAAAATTTACTGATTTTTTGCTAGTGTGGGGATAAACATAGTCAAAACAAATCTTCATAAACAGTTTAGGATTGGGAAGTTTAATGGAAGTGATACCTTGTTTCCTTTCTAGACGACTGAGTCAAAGGCCAACACCAGAAGAACTAGAACAACGAAACATACTGCAACGTAAGTCCCTCTGGCAATAAAGTTGTACCGATTTCCTTTATGTATTTTTAGCTTTAACAACAGAGAAGAGGTGCATTTTCTACAGGGGTCTAAGAAAGGATATTTCAGTCAGGAAACACTGTATATTTCTTCTCCGGAGGGAACAGTATTCCTCCAAGCTTCCTGTTCAAGCCTTCCTTACAGTATTATTTAGTGCACTGGATACTCCAGAAATTTGTATTTTAATGTTCTCACAGTGTTCTGAGGCCACCTTGGGCATTTGGGGGAAATTTGACTGTGTTATAAAAATTGCTGCACCCTCCCTAGTGGCGCAGCAAGTTGGAGCACTGCACTGCAAAGCTAGGCCAGGTCATAACTGCTTCAGTGGGAGTTTGATCCTGGACCCTGGAGGTGACCCAGGGTGCAGCAGACCTCTCCTGGGTGACCCGCTGCTCCCCTCAGCAGTGTATGTCATCAGTCTGCCTGTTCTGTTCCCCACTCTGTCTCTGGTGAATCTTCTTGCCACCTCTGCACCTCTGGCCAGTACCCCATTTCTGTATACATAAATAATTAAAATCTTCAAAAGTTGCAGCCCAACTTTTCTCTGACGGCAAGGAAGTAAGATGGTGCCTATACTTGGAGAGGACCTTCCTGTTCCTAATAGAACAGATGAAGGTCCCAGTGCAGCGTCTTCCTGCCTGTTTGATCTCTTAAGACTTTCATCTCAGTACAATCACAAAATCAGATTCTGTGTTTAATTTGCTTTCTGTTTTTGTAATTAACTTCCTGAAATCACATTCTAATCTAGTGCAGATTTGATTTATTTTGCTAGATAATAGGGTGAAATTTGTCCTTAAAACCTCCACACTAGGGCCCTCCCTGGTGGCGCAGCCGGTTAAAGCACAGCAATGAAGCTAAAGCCACTTCCACATGAGTTCGATCCCCACCTACCCTGGAGCTGACCCACGTGGCACATCAGACCTCTCCTGACCCGCCTGCTGCTCCCTCAGCAGTGTACTCCGTCAGTCAGCCTGTTCTGCTCCCCACTCTGCCTCTGGTGAATCCTCTCCCAGCCCCTGCACCTCTGGCCTATACCCCAGTTCTGTGTGCATAAATAAATAAATCTTTAAAAATAAAAAAATGTAAAGGACATTCACATTTAAAAATGTAAAGAACAATCATAGCTCATGAGCAGTAAAATATAAGTGGCTGACCAGATATGGCACCATGCTTCACTGATCCTCACTCTTAAGTATTTGATTTCATCAGTTGACAAGAAAATTGTCTTAGCAATCCCCAGATATGGGCCCCAAGTCTGTATTTTATTCTCACTTGGAGCTTCTAAATAAGCAGAGGTGATGTATTTTATGAAAAGATGGATATACAAATTACATTTTGAAATAACTTTCTTGTTTCTGTCAACTGTAGCCAAAAACGAAGCTGATCGTCAGGCAGAGAAACGAGAGATTAAGCGCCGGCTCACCAGAAAGGTACACTGCCCGGTGCTGGTTTTAGGCTGATGTAGGTCTTGTGTTTGAACTATTTGATTGGAAAGAAATTAATTTGAGTTGCCTTTTGTTGTTACAAAAATATAGTACCTTATGGAAAATAATACCGCATAACAGGGGTGTTGGTTTCTTTTTCATATTTACTACTTTGAAAACTTGGCACAAGTAGGTACTCAATAAATGTTCAGCCGGATAAATTTTGACCTTTTACTTGGTAGACTTGGAATTTTGATGTACATTATAAAACTTGTTAAAAAACAAAGATGGTAACAGGAGGAGGTAGCATTCGATTTTGTGGGACAAACTGGTTGTTTTTCTAATCAGAGAGAGAACTGATTTGACCCTAAGAAATACTTGAAAAGTATGAAAAATTAAGCAACTGGGTACCAGGGTGAGTTAGCATGAAATCTTCTCTCCCAAACCTGTGTTAGCAGTTAAACTTTGGATTAATCCTCTTTCCCTTTCATTCCCACCATAATAATTAATAATTGTCCCCTGTAAATGCTAATTTGGCATGAGTTCTCTAGATATTTCTGAAGACTTACAAGAATCCCCAAAGAGTGAAAGCTATAGACATTTTGTTCCTGGTATCTTCTACCAGGAACAAAGAAAGTTTCCTTGATAGATTGAAAGTATCTAGAGGTCATAGCTGTATTTAATTATGCTCAGCTTGAGCAGGTTACCTGATTGTGTCACCTTAAATCATAATTTGCTATTCTGGACATTATTCGTGTTCAAAGAAAATTCACCCATAATGTTATCCACTAATACTATATGTAATATATAGTACTATATATATATTATTTAATATCTGATATAACCCCAGCCTTTTCAGTACCTAAACCGTGGTTCATTCACCAGCAGCATTAGCATCACTGGGGAGTTTGTGAGAGCTGCAGCCCCTTCCTGACCTGCTTAATCAGAATCCACCTTTAAGCCTGATCCCCAGAGGATTTGTATGCATGTAAACTTTAAGAAGCACTGGTTATACTGGTTATAGCCCAGGATCCCTGGGGGTGGAACCCAGGAATCAGTAGTGGATTAAAGGCCCCCAGGGGATTGTGATGGGCAATGACAGTTGAAGCACAGTTAGAAGCAATTTGAATGTGTGGTTAATGCCTAAATCCTGGCACAGTGAACTGAGAGGCTCCTGTCTTTCAGCTCAGTCAGAGGCCCACTGTGGCTGAACTACTTGCTAGGAAGATTCTGAGGTTTAATGAATATGTGGAGGTAACAGATGCTCAAGATTATGATCGGCGAGCTGACAAACCATGGACCAAACTGACTCCTGCTGACAAGGTATCTCTCTCACTCTCTCAATTCTCTCTGAGAAGTATAAGACACCAAAAGTGGAAACCATAAACAAAATTTTTACCTTGGATAACATTAAATTGTTAATCAAGACACAAAATGCCAAGATACAAAAACCAAAACTAGGGCCCTTTCTGGTGGCACAACAGATTAAAACACAGCACTATGAAGCTTTCACAGCCACTGAAGCACATGGCGCAGCAGACCTCTCCTGACCCATCCACTGCTCCCCTCAGCAGTGTATTTCAGTCAGTCTGCCTATTCTGTTCCCCACTCTGTTTCTGGTGAACCCTCTCACCGTGCCTGTACCTCTGGCCTATACCCCAGTTCTGTATGCATAAATAAATAAATCTTTAAAAAAAAATAAAAAAAAATACCCAACACTATACAAATGACTCTGCCACCACAAAGCTGAAAGAAAGGAAATGCCTTGCTTCCTCACACACAGAAATAAAACACATTCTTAACAATGGTTCTGTTTGGTTGGGCAGAGTTTAGGAGGTATATTTTAGTAATTACCCATACTGACTATAAAAGCTACAATAAGTCTCTTCATCTTCTCAGCTGTTTTGCTTTACCTGGAACTTTTACTGTGCAATGACTGGTGTCAGGGAAGGAGCTTCATGTTGAGCTCAGAGCTCTGTTCAGTGTGTTGGCGTAGCTTCTTCCCTCCAGGGGCCCAGTTAGAAGCAATTTGAATGTGTGGTTAATGCCTAAATCCTGGCAAAGTGAACTGAGAGGCTTACAGATTACAGCCATTCCCATAGTCAAGCATGGTAGAGGATCCATGGCAAATCATACTGCTGTACAATGGTAGACTGAAGTATTCTTGTGTCTAATCCACAGGCTGCCATAAGAAAAGAATTAAATGAATTTAAAAGCTCAGAGATGGAGGTTCATGAAGAGAGCAAGCATTTTACACGGTAAGATCAAAAGACTGAGGGTCCTCTCTGGTGGTGCAGCGGGTTAAAGCACAGCACTAAGAAGCTAAAGCCACTTGAGCCTGAGTTCAATCCCCAGCCCCGGAGGTGACCCACATGGCACTGCAGACCCCTCCTGACCCGCCCCCTGCTTCCCTCAGCAGTGTACTTCGTCAGTCTGCCTGTTCTGTTCCCTACTCTGTCTCTGGTGAATCTACCCCACCATTCCTGCACCTCTGGCCTTTACCCCAGTTCTGTATGCATACATAAGTAAATAAATAAATCTTTTAAAAAAAAAAAAAGATCAAAAGACTCAGACACCATGCTAGAGGGTTAAGAACATAAAACCATGCTTAGGATATGGCAAGAAACAGGATAAAGTTCCTATCCTCAGTAGCTTTTACTCTGGAGGAAAGCAGACAATGAACACATTGAAAGAATTGATATTGACTTAACAAGTAGAGGACACGTTGAAGTGGGGATGCCTAAAAAACAGTTGGATTGCAGCATGACATCCAGGGAGAAAGCAAGGTCCAAAGAGACAGGAGAAAAGTGGTGTTTCTTAAAGGGAAAATCAAGCAGGAAGGCATGTTGAAAAAGCAGTTGGGGGAAAGAAAACTAGGAAGAAGATAATATTACAGAAGCCAAGAAAAGGAACTTCAAGAAAAGGTCAGGAGCATCCATTGCTGCTAATTTTTTTAAAATTAGTACGTGGTATTTCATTACTATTATTATTATTTTAATAATATAATAGTTTATTCATTACTATTACTTTAAGAATAGCAGAGCAATCTACAGTATCACATAACTTGGCTTTTTTGGTTGTCTGTTTCAGCTACCATCGCCCATGAGGCTAAAGTCAGCAAGATGAACTCAGCAACCCCCCAAAACAGAGTGCTTTGCTGCTCCAGTGTCCAGTGTCATGGAGGGAATGCCTGCACTTCTGCGTACAGCCAGATTGAGTCCTCTGGGATAGAGTTCCAGGGTGAACAGCACTTCTATGAACATAGCATTTCACTGGAATGCTGCCTTGGGCAAAACCAGACACACTCTGTCAGAGCTTTTGAACCTTATCACGTTGCAGCATATTTGAGGTGACTTTCCTTGCCAGCTACCAACGTCTATACCACCTGCAGGTTCCAAGTTTGATTGGCCTCACCACATCCTTGTTCGGGATGATGGCCTATTCTCAGGCACACTTCCACTATGAGCCTTATCTGCCCTCTCCTGATTGTGGGACCCACTGTGTGGGCACTGAATTGCTGCCATCAGATCCATTGGTGCTGGGGAAAACCTGGATGCCCCAAACTTCTGGCAAAGGGCCCCCACCTGCAGGGGAAGCCGTTGTACCACGTTGGCCCTTGGCTGAAAGCGTTGCACTGTGCATCTGGTCATGGCAATAGCCCTCTTGGGCATTCCAGTCTGAGACTGTGACACAGGTCTTACTGATTTTTTTTTTTCTCCCCCCAAAGAAGAATGGTCTTGAAAGAATGATGGTAACTTAGGTCATCCTCTCTATTAAACAATCTGAGCTGCATCCAGATTCCCAGTTGGTAAAATAAGAAAGTAATGTGTTTTCTGTATACAATAAACACCCAGAGAGACCCTTACATTAATACCAACTTGGAGGAAAACTAATTCATAGCTTGTAGCGACTCTCTGGGAGCATGATTCTGGGAGCACTTCACCTCTCAGTGCCCCAAACTCCAAGAGAGAATTGCAGCAAAGTCCTAGGGACATGGAGCACTACATTGGAAAGGTTTTTGAAGAAACAGTGAGAAGGGTGTGATCCTGCCCCACTGCCTCCTTCTCAGCACTGTTAGCTCTCTCCTGCTGAGCTCTCCCGCTCAGCTCAAACACTGAGCCTCCGCCAGCCACTCCCCGGCAGCTGCCACCTCACTCAGCCGTCCTCTTCCAAGTAGCCAGTGTACTGGTGCCTGGGTTTTGACTCAATCCTCACTCTTTTTTGTATATGTACTGTAAGTATGATTTCCTAAAATGGAAGGTTCCGTTGCTTTTCTTTGAATTTTTATTAAAACCCACACAGGCTCGCTCTGCCTCTGTCCCTGTGCACAGTAAGTGGTGGCTTCTATTTAACCAATGAATGTGGCTCTATTTAATGTTCAGCTGTCTGATAGACTACTTCTGCAATCCCTGTTCTATATGTGATGATCAGTAGATTTTTCTCATTTTTTTCCTATCATGTTTATTAAGATTTACTGAAGAATCAAGAATATCAGGTCAAACCAGAAAAGCTAAAATGACCTTAAAAGGTAGTCTCATCACTCTGTATGGGGCCTGGGGGTGGTATTCAGATTTCTCTGTACCATCAATGCCTTACGGCTCTGGAGACAGAATGGGACCACATCTTCTTGAAGCTCCCTAACAATTGAGTGACGAGGGGAAAGTAAGTGAAGTTCTAAAATTTACTAGAGGTCTGCAGGTAAGGTGGCTGCACATTTACTGCTAACGTCTAACCTTTCAAGTCTCGCTGATGTGGAGACTGCTTGGCTTAAACCAGCATTCTCTGTAGCTTGAGCTGACATTTTCAGACAGTTCTTCCACTGCCTTTCTTTCTCTTAATGTGCCAAGTTTGAAACAGGATTTAACTTCCTGAGTTACTTGTCTGTTTTCTATGTGCCACCAAGAAATCTAGTTCATCTTCTCATTCTTGTTCTTTTCAAATGAGATGCTTTGGGAGTCAGGTCTTTTCAGGTGGTTGTTTTTGTTTTGGGGGGTTTTTTACACACACACACATACACACACACACAATGGATTTTATGTTCCTTTTCCATGTAAGTAACAATTCACTATCATAATGTAAAGAAGAAATAAAAACCTGATGTATTGTACTTCAAGATGCTTTTCCCTGATGTACAGAATCTTCCTGTAAAATAAATAATTACATTGTATATCAGTCTTCCTATCAATATTAATTATTAAAGTATTTTAGAATTAACACTATTCTGGGTGAAGTGTTTTTGTGTGTTTTACCAGGTTCCCAAAAAATTAAAGCAGCATAAAAATAACTAAAATATTGCTAGATACCCTAAATAAGTAGATTTATTTAGGGGGGAGGGAAAATAATAAGAGCCTTAAATATAGGGAGAGATGAAAGCCAGTCAAGTTTGTCTATTTGTGTCTATGTATGAGAAAAAATAGAGACAGCAGAGGAAAAAACAACTGCGAACCTCATGTATGTTCTATTTACCATGCCAGACCCTTTATCCTATTCTACCCTGGGAGGTAAGCAGAAATACACTAATCAATGAAGAGCCTGAGAGGTGAAGTTGCCTCCCCAAGGTTAAAGCAAATTATATAATCACTTTTGTGTGTGTTTAAAGATCAAGCAATTGAATCTTAATTAATTGTCCCAACAAGGATTTACTGTAAACCTAATATAATTAGACCTCAGGCTGATGTTACAGTAGTTTAGTTCTGATTCATGTGCTGCTCTAGCCAGCAGCCCAGTTTTTAAATCCAGGTGGCCTCACCAGTGACTCACTTTCTACTTGTCACTTCAGAAACTGACCTTAATTAGTGCATTACTCTTTGCCAAGGATTAAACGAAACTTTGAGTCAGAACATTGGTGTCTTTGACTTCCACCTGCTGGGGATTTCCTTCTACTAGTCCTCCAACGTGGCCCCAAGTTACCACTATTTTGAGGTTAAGCATTTTCTGCAGAAGGGTATTTGAAGGTACACAGTTCCCACTGTTTGCTTGTGGTTCTTAAGGCTTTAGATTACAAAAACCCAGGAAAGGGAGGACTGCAGTTGGGCAGTGAGTAGTTTGGAAAACCTCTATCAGCAAAAGCAAGTTCAGTGGGTATTGAATGGGAGGAGATGAGACAAGGAAGATGGGAATGAAACCAAACAGCATAAATCACTGCTTAAATTCCAGCTCTAGGAATCATGAAGAGAAAACCAGGAACCACAGGCAAGCTGGGCCACTTCCATGTCTTTTGTGTGAATATTGTGCATTTCTCCCCCCAAGAATTTTACCTTATTTATAAAACAAAAAGGTTATCTGACAAATTAAGTTCAATTTCCTTTTATCTGGTACTAAAAAGACAAAAACTCCCCATTTGTTTAATGTTGACTTCATTTTCAACCCCTCAAAAAAATCCTCCCTTCGGCCCTCCCTGGTGGCGCAGAGGGTTAAAGCACAGCACTGAGAATCTAAAGCCGCTTCTGCATGAGTTTGATTCCCTGCTTGCCCCGGAGGTGACCACATGGCGTGGCAGACCTCTCCTGACCCGCCCGCTGCTCCCCTCAGCAGTGTACTTTGTCGATCTGCCTGTTCTGTTCCCCACTCTGTCTCTGGTGAAGCCTCTCACTGCCCTTGAGCCTCTGGCCTGTACCCCATTTCTGTATGCACAAATAAATAAATCTTTTAAAAAAAAAATCCTCTCTTCACATTTTTCACATCTTAATTGCTCTACCGCCTGCTTTTCCTACACTACACAATCTATTCTAACAACTTAATTCCTGTATTGTACAAGCAGTTGTGCTAAGAGAGATAAATGGAGAAAGCAGTGCCTTAACTTTGGTTTATGACTGCTGGTCTGCACTTGCACTCCTGTTTCCTATTTCTGAACTCACTCACTCAGTTCATTAAAATCTAAACTGAATCCAAACTAAAATGGCTTTCCCTGAGGTCAACATTGACTTTTCAGACTTTAACCTATACAGTTTGCAGTTCTTAATCTATTTGACAACTATGCAGCTTTTGATGCTTTGGGTCAGATCCTAGTCCTCAAATATTCCTTGGCCTCTCAGACACGGTTGGCTGGTTCTCTAAGCAACCTTCTAATTCCTGCCGGCTATTTCTCTGACATTTCTCTGAAATGTGGATTTTCATGTTTTCTTCCCTCACCCTGCTCTCCCAAGGTGACTGGAGTTTCCACTTACTCTGACAACTTACTCAAATACCTCCTTGGAGTTCCAACCCTATATCCGATTGTCTTTTAGGTGCAACTGGTTTTTTTGTTTGTTTGTTTGTTTGTTTTTAACTAAACCTGACAGTGAAAAACACGCTGACTACTAATAGTGCCTGGAGACAGGGACTTGAATCATTCTAAAGCAGCGTTATCCATTTCATCTTACATCAGAGCAGTCAACATAGTCAAAAAGGCAAAATCTGTTTTATGTCTTTTTCTATTTTGCAAAGATCTCTTATATAACCTTATTTAACAGCGTAGCCTCCAAATCAGGTGAAGGAAGCGAACAGAAGCTAACATTAAACACGCCCGGTACCAGTCTGACCGCACACTTTAAAAGGTTTTGTAATTTACTGCCTTTGCAAGATCTCGCGGGAAGGATCAAGTGTCGCGATACTCATAATGCGCCCAGATAGGGGTGGGGCTTAATCTTTAGTAAATTCCCAGCACCCTTAGCGAATTTCCGGCTTCTTAACTGCGCATGACCCCATGCGTAGCGCTGCGCAGGCGCAATAGACATTCCGTGGCTGCTTTCGCTTCAGAAGGTATAAATAGGGACGTTTGGGCGCTACTCAGTCTTTTGCGAAGAGGCAGTCGCCGCGAGTTTGCTGTATTGGTGAGTGATGGTTACCCGTGGGGTTCTCTAGATTTGTTCTAGTCCATCGGGTCTGCTACCGTTCCCACTTTGGGGATCATTACTATTTAAAACACCCCGGCTGCAGCCTTGGTGCAATTTACACTTCCTCGTGCAGTGCGCGGAACGTGGCCGCGGAGGCCTCTCGAGCCCCGGGTGGTGACCGTAACTGGCCGGCGCGTGCCGAAGCCTGGGAGGCTGCTGCCCTGTGCATCTGGATGCTATATGCGCAGGTCCTCCGAACCCCACGTTCGTCCGCCTTCAGGGACTAGACCTCAGTTCGGCGGAGCACGTTGTTCTTGTGTAGCACATGACCTGCCGAAAATGGCCGCTCTTGATTATGCCGCCCTTGTCTTCAAACTACAGATGAACCTTAGTCCCAAATCGATTTACCGTATTTCTGGCAGTGAGTTAATAACTTATAGAAGTTTCTAGAAACGTTCCGATTACCCGCGTTAGTTCTGTCAGACACGTGTTTGCTGATAGACCTTCACGTATAATTGCTTTGATTAATGAGGATCCCCGAATAATTTCCTCCATGGTGTGCCCCGGGAAAGTCGCTACCAGCTGAGTGATAGTGCTTTTTCGTGCCATGTTTCGTATATTGTGACCAACGTGGATACCCCGGGAGGTCGCTCTCCCGGGCTCTGTCCTGGTGGCATAGGGGAGCACAGGGCACTGCCCCATGATGTACAGTCCCTTTCCACGACGTTGGAGATGAAGCTGGGCTCTAGTCCGCGCCTGCATATTCCTACAGCTTCTCAGAGTCCTCTGGACCATGACTGAGGAGACAAACCATGCAGGAAACAGGTTCAGCATTGTTCGGGTTTAAGAAAATGGCAAAACAAAATTTGGGATTCGTCAGCTTTTTACTGCTGGGTTAAAACCCTATCTTGTTATTGTAGGGCTGCTCAAGATACCAGATACCCTGACGTGGAGGTAAGTCTTAAAAATTACTTTTGGATTGTTGGTTTATAATTTGCATAAGATTTAACCCTGAGCTTAGTTCTCATGAAAACAATGCTGCTGTTCAGTACACCCAGATAGGAATTTGACTGATAATTCTGTAGGCATATTTGTAGTTAGATTTATGCTCAAGTTTGAAGAAGCTGCGTTTTTAGAGTATTAATGCTAAGATACAGCTTTTACTAGCATGGCCATGTAAGAGGAAATTGCTGTTTGTTAAATATGGACAGTTTGGAATGCTTGACCAAAGTCAGTACTTAACACATGAGCCATTTAACATGCAAACCCCTTTAGTGGGTCTGAAGGTTACCCATGTACAAATGTGGCTCAGATGTTTTGGTTTCCAGACAACTGAATTCTTGTTTCCAATTACATTTTAAAATCCTGTTTATATTCTTTTCTTTTATGTGCCATAGCACTTTCTTGTAAAGAATATTGCTTGTCTGCAGTGTTGTGGGATATATATACATTTTGTAACTGCTGGCTGTGGGGGGCAGATGTCTGATGGTGATGGTGTTTGATGTTACCTCCACCTGAGCTGGGTGTTCCAACGTGGATACCCCGGGAGGTCGCTCTCCCGGGCTCTGTCCTGGTGGCATAGGGGAGCACAGGGCACTGCCCCATGATGTACAGTCCCTTTCCACGACGTTGGAGATGAAGCTGGGCTCTGGTCCGCGCCTGCATATTCCTACAGCTTCTCAGAGTCCTCTGGACCGTGACTGAGGAGACAAACCATGCAGGAAACAACTAATAATATGCTAACATGTTTACATATAAGAAAGATTGTAAATAGGATCCTAATCTTACTGGGTTTCTTTGTTTCCATTTAGGAGAGAAGAGGAACCTCACCTAATTTTGAACTTGCTCTAAGTGCTTGTGGATGCCCTTTATTTGGCAGGTAGAATTGGTAAAAGTGAATGGTAGACTCGTGGGTGATGAGCCCTTAAAGACCTTTGATGAATGGAGTCTATTTAACCGTGTAATGCTTCCATTTGGAGCCAGGGTTATTTATGGGGTAAAAATTATCTGTGACATAGGGTGGTTTTTGCCTTTCTTTGGTGGATTTTTTGTTTTTTAGCAACATGGATAAAGGATACTTCCCAAGGATTTCTAGAGGTCTTATATTAAGTACATACATGTCCATTTCTGATGTATATGAATTGCAATAAAGATTATGTACAGTTTTGTGGTTTCTTTGTGTGTGGAGATGTGTGGCATCAACTTTTCAAGATATTGATGGATTTCTTTTTCCTGGATAAGCACTATATTGATAATCTGGTTCTTTAAAACGGGGCAGGTAAATTTCCCTTATAAATGTAAGTGGTTAAATTAAAAGCTGTCTGGGTTACCTAATAGAGTTTAGGTGTTTTCAGA